AGGTTTGAATCCAGGGTGCGCTGTCAGACCCAGTTTCTACCAATTTAACAGTTCGAAAACATGCAAACGTGAGTAGATGAATAGGTATCGTTCCGGCGGGAAGGTAATCACACTCCATGCAGTCATGCTGGCCACATGACCGTGGAGGTGTCTATGGACAACGCCGGCTCTTCGGCCTAGAAATGGAAAAGAGCACCAACCCCCAGAGCCAGACATGACTGGACTTAATGTCAGGGGAAATCCTTTACCTTTATGTTATGATTTTACAAATTATGCACCAGAACATCATGTTTTACAACAAATCAACAGAAAAAGCAGTTTAATACACAATAACGTTATGTAGTAATTACTGTATTTACGAATTAAGCACCAAAACATTGCAATTTATTGAAAGCTCTGTGGATCCGGGCTGGAGGTAGACTGCATTGGATACTACAAAACATTGGATGAGTGAAGGTTGGATAAGCGAGACTCCACTGTACTTAATGCTCTGCTTACGAGATATACACATTTCATCTTCACGTTGTACTAAAAATCGGAGCTTGCTGACAGATCTGTCAATCAAGGACATATTTGGTTGGGCATGTTCTCCTTCGGAGGTCAGACTTGGGCAGAATTGGGAAAGGAAAGTGCTGGGAATGAGAAAACAGTGTCCAAATCCCTGTTGTTTCCAAACTTTACCAATCAATCTGTCATTAGTGTTGACTGTTAAGACAAATCTTCTTCAAAAATATTTCAATGAAATCTCTTGGGTGGATCAAAATGGAAGGCATGGGAAATGTACTTAATGTGCCAAAGAGATGTAAGATCTAATACAGTGGTTTCCAACCTTTGGTCCTCTGTGTGTTTTGGACTTCAGCTCCCACAATTCCTAACAGCTGGTAAAATGGCTGGGATTTCTGGGAGCTGAAGTCCAAAACACCTAGAAGACCAAAATTTGGGAACCACTGCTCTAATAGGAAGAATTGAACAACAGGAGTGGAGGTACGTAGTCCTCTAGTTGTCGGTAGACTGCATTTCCCCTCATTCCTCATAACTGACTGCGCTCTTTAGTACTGATATAAGTTGCAGTCAAATAATAGCCATTTAGCAATTGATTTATCACCTCATGAATATACAGGTTGAGCATCTCTCATCTAGAATTACAACATGCTCCAAAATTGTCCATCTGGGTGACTGAGATAGATATGCCTTTGCTTTCTGATGCTTCAGTGTACGTAAACTTTCTTTTAGGCACAATATTATTACAAATCTATAAAATGACCCGTCTACTATATGTATAAGATGTATTTGAACGTAAATGCTTTTCATGTTTAGACTTGGGTCCCATCTCCGAGATATATCAATATAAACCTAAAATATAGTTATTTTAATATCCAAAATACAGAATATTTCTGGCCTCTGGAAAAACCTCCCATCTCACACTGGGATTAAGTTTAATTTCTGTAGTGGAGACCACAACAGTGTGATACATATGTCCACAAACAGAGGCTATTTCTGCGCAGTAGTTGGATTCTAATAATGTTACAAAAGGTTTACTTGGTGTTGGATATTTAGCTATTGCATTTACTGTTTTTGGAGGCAGGAAAGTAGGGATGTATTAAATCAGATGTCTTGCTTGCATATCTACAGTGCAGTCCTTTCTTCCAGCCTTCTACTTTTGAGCTTGGCAGATGAAATACCCAGAACTAAATCCCTATTTTGTTTGGAAAGGGATTTGGGAAAATTATTTGATGGGCTCTGAAGGACATTATGCATTGCGATTTCTGTAGGCTCATTACTTCCTGTTTCAGCCATTCTGCCGAAGAACTATTTCAAGTCATCATAGAGCAAACATTTGCTGTCAAAATTGGGAAGCCATGGTATGTACTACATTAAGCTTGTATATTAGATTTTTTTGATCCACTTTTTTTTATTAAGCATTGTATAGGCTTTGAAAGTGAAGAGTGGCCTTTTCAGAACTGGAATAACCAAAGAAAGACAAAAACCTCAAAAAAATCTACAGAAGGGATAGGAATCATGCAGTTCCCCAGATGTTGTTGGACTACAACCCCCAGAATTGTTTAGTCTTGGCTGTGTTAGCTACCACTGACGAGACCTAGAAAATAGCAATAACTACAGGACAGAAAAAAGTACTGAGAACCTGAAATAAGGTAGACAGTAATTCCCTAGGTGTAACCAGTAAGTGATTTTTTTAAAGAAGGAATTTCCTTGAAAAAGTATTAACAAGAAATATTTTGAGCTATTGTATTTTGGCTTTTTTTCCCATGCCAGGAGTGAGTTGAGAAACTGCAAGTTGCTTCTGGTGTGAGAGAATTGGTCGACTGCCAAGACCTTTCCCTAGGTACGCCCAGATGTTTCACCATCCTATGGGAGGCTTCCCTCATGTTCCTGCATGAGAAACTGGAGCTGTCAGACGGGAGCTCACCCCACTCTCTGGATTCGAACCACCAGACTTTCGGTCTGCAGTCCTGCTGGCACAAGGGTTTAACCAATTGCGCCACCGAGGGCTCCCTAGCTAACTATTGTGTGATGAATAGAAAGTGCTTTCTAACACAGTTTACAGGAATAATGGTTTGAGTTGGTCTGTTTTCTGATCTGTTTTCCAGGTATTCCTTCCATTCTTTCTGTTTCCTGCTTGGATGCAGATACTTGGAAGCAGACTTTGCTTTTGTTGATTTGTCACAAGTATTCATAATACAAGCAGTCCCCAAGTTTCGAACAAGATCTGTAGGTTTGTTCTTAAGTTGAATGTGTCTCTAAGTCAGAACAGGTATATTTTAAAGTGTTAACTCCAACCAAAACTATATTTATATTTGTTTTGGATAGCATAGGGAAGGCTTTTCATCCCTGTGGTGTTTGTTTTGCTGTCTATGCCCCTGTTCAGAAGATTTCACCTCACTTTCTGAACCTGTAATAATTATATTTTGGAAAAAAAATGGCTTGTTGTGGAAAGAAGGATTGGTGATAATGTTTTCTCTATGATACTCTTTCAGGACTGAATTTCCCTTCCAAGGGATGGATTTCTCTCATTTTCTGTTGTTTCAGCTCCATTCTTAATTCTGATTTGGTTGCAAGTCAGATGTTTGTAACTCAGGGAGAGCCTGTAATCTTTACCACTGACCGTCTGAAAGAGAAATAGACATTAATAAATAGCACAATAGCTAGTTGCTTGTGTTGGTGAGAAAATGCCTTTCCTGGCCTCTTGACATGAATCTTTTTTGTTTTCTTAGGCACTTTATCACACTGTAACATCCACTGTTTTTTTGCATTCACTTCCCACTAACTTTTCTATCTACAGTCTTAACCTCCAGTGATGTGTATATAATAACACTTTCAGTTCACAATTATACATAATTAATCAGATGACAGAAGTAGGCTGTTGGCCACAAAAGCTTGCATACCAATACATTCCATAGTTTTTTGGATGCTGCTGGATTTGTTGCTTTTGAGTAATTACTAAAATTATGTCATTTGTTGGAGAACAGTGTCATTGGACCAAGTAAGACATTGTCAACGATCCCATTTCAGTGCTAGTTAAATAGTCCTTGAATAAGATCTTGGAAGGTAGCAGAATGAATGCAGTGTGTGTTGCTCTGAGTTTTCCAGGATGTATGGCCATGTTCCAGAAGCATTCTTTCCTGATGTTTTGCCTGCATCTATGGCACATCCTCAGATGATTGTGAGGTCTGTTGGAAACTTGGCAAGTGGGGTTTATATATCTGTGGAATAATGTCCAGAGTGGGAGAAAGAACTCTTGCCTGTTTGAGGCAGGTGTAAAAGTTGCAATTGGCCACCTTATTTAGCATTGAATAGCCTTTTAGCTTCAAGATCTGGCTTCTTACTACCTGGGGAATCCTTTGTTGAGAGGTGTTAGCAGGCCCCTCATGGTGCAGTGGGTTAAACTTGTGCTGACCCTTGTGCTGGCAGGACAGCTGACCAAAAGGGGAGCTAGGGGAGCTCTCATCTGTCAGCTCCAGCTTCCCATGTGAGGACATGAGAGAAGCCTCCCACAGTATGGTAAAATACTCGGGTGTCCCATGGGCAACATCCTTGCAAACGGCCAATTCTCTCACACCAGAAGCGACTTGTAGTTTCTCAAGTTGCTCCTGAAACAAGAAAAAAAACTAGCCCAGATTGATTCATGTCATAGGTTTTTAAATTCTTGTGTGTTATTGTCTACTTATGAGTTATATTAATTGTATTGTTTATTTTGTTTTGCTTGTTATTTTATTATTGCTTGTTGTTTTTGATGTGTTGTTGGTCTTGGCCTCATGTAAGCCGCTCCGAGTCCCTTGGGGGAGATGGTGTAAATAAATTATTATTATTATTATTATTATTATTATTATTATTATTATGTCTGTAATTCCTCTGTTTTGGATTGTGTGTTTGCTGGTCTTGGAGATGGGAATCCCACCCCACTTTTCTTTGTCTTTTCAGACTTTGCTAAAGAATATGCCCTTGCTTTTTACCTCTTCCACAGCATACTATTAGATTAGCCGTGGTGTGTGTCCTTCAGTATGGTACTCTTTAATTGGCACTTATTTTGATCTTCTAGAATGCCTTAATCAGATTAAAGTTGTTTAGACTTAGACCCTTTCTATGCATAGATTTAAGTAATTTGGGAATGGAGTGTTTGTCTTAAGAGTTGTGAACATTCGCTGTAACAACACTACACAGTTATGATGGTTTAATACCACTTTAACCATTGTGGCTCTATTTTAAAGTTTCATGGTATTTGTAGTTTGGAGAGGTACTTAAAATTCTCTGCTAGAGAGCCCTAGTGCACTTGAATTACAGCTGGAATGGTGACAGACTGTTCTAACTGTCTAGTGCAAATGTATTATTAGTACAACATTCTGAAAACAGAAGGCACATTTCACCTGGCTTACTTTTCCAGGTGGTGATCCAGAAGTTGCAGACTAAAAATAGCAAACCTTTTAACCTACATTGGTGACTTGCAAGCATGTAGTTAAGGAACTCTTCCTTCTTGTTTGCAGATGTTCCAAACTGTGTCAGCAGAAACCTCTGAATTTGCAAGAAGATGATACTGAAAAGCATTGTCCTGTTACAGTGAATCCTTGGCATATGAAGAAAGCTTTCAGAGTAATGAATGAATTAAGAAGGTATTTCTTAAGTTATAAAATACATGATTGCTTTGTGTGGTTAATGGTTTGTGAAGTTTGCTGATGAGATAGCAAAGAGTCATTTTTTTAATGATGGTATAATTTGAAGTTTATTTGCTATCAAAATTATTATACAAAGAAAAGAGGCTACCAAGTTTTGCATGGGGAAACTTGAGTAACACACAAAATAAATTATTCCATGTGGCAGAAGCCTGGCTTTCTGTGCCCATATTCATGCCAGATCAGTGGATTTTTAGGGATGTGGTGACTTCAAGTAATATAAGTATTGGAAATTCTATAACCTATTGGAAATAAGTGCACCATAACCTTATTGAAAAGGTAAAAATTGATGTCACATCCGTTTGGCAAATGTGAATCTCCATGAACACGTAGAGACCACCTTTTGAAAACAACTAGTCAAGAAAGGCATGACCTTGTTGGAAGGTCAACCCTTTGAACAAGTAATGTTTATAAACCTGGCTGTGGCACAGCTAGTTAGTAGTCAGCTGTATTAAATCACTACTGACTGAGAGGTCATGAGTTTGAAGCCAGCCCAGGTCGGAGTAAGCTCCCAACCATTAATAGTCTAGCTTGCTGTTGACCTATGCAGCCCAAAAGACAGTTGCATCTGTGAAGGGCAACGTCCTTGCAGACGGCCAATTCTCTCACACCAGAAGTGACTTGCAGTTTCTCAGGTCACTCCTGACACGACAAAAAAAATCTGTGAAGTAGGAAATTTAGGTACCTTTTATGCGGGGAGGCTAATTTAACTAACTTACGACACCATAAAACAGTGGTTCTCAACCTGTGGGTCCCCAGGTGTTTTGGCCTACAACTCTCAGAAATCCCAGCCAGTTTACCAGCTGTTAGGATTTCTGGGAGTTGAAGGCCAAAACATCTGGGGACCCACAGGTTGAGAACCACTGCCATAAAACCTTCCAGGAGCGTGCATAAGAATGAGGAAGTACTCCATTAAGGACTTGTTGTCCCAAGTGGATGGTGAAGCAGCAGCTCTCCCTGTGGCCGGAATCGAGCATACCCTCATGAAGCCGGAAAGCTGGAATGTTAAATTGCCTCTGTGTCTGTCTATATATGTTGTATGTCTATGGCATTGAATCTTTGCCATGTATATGTTCATTGTAATCCGCCCTGAGTCCCCTTCGGGGTGAAAAGGATGGAATATAAATACGGTAAATAATAAATAAATAATCATTAATGTAATGGCCCACAGGTTACTCAGCTGCTAAACAAAAGAACCATGTCTTTAAACTGCCAAGGATAAAGACATGACACTACAAAAATATATTTGGATATATGGTTGTTTCTTTGAAGTTGCAGTTGTAATTGCCCCAAAAGATAAACACTCCCTTGAAACCTCTTAGTTAAATATGCGCTCAGAGATAAAACAAAGTAGTCTTCTTAAAAAAAATAACATCTCAAGTTTACTAACAAACTTCTTGTATATATTCAGCATACTAGTGCATAGTCTAATGTCTTTAAGCATATAGATATAGTCCAAACTGTACTCACTGAAGTCTGAAAGGAGAAAAACTGCATTCCACCTCCATTGAAGTCTAATGTAGGGGTCCTCAAATTAAAGCCTGGGGGCCGGTATTTTTTTGCACTACAAATACGATATGTGCAGTGTGCATAGGAATTCATTCATATTTTTTTCAAATTATAATCTGACCCTCCAACAGTTTGAGGGACTGACCTGGCCCTCTGTTTAAAACGTTTGAGGACCTCTGGTCTAATGTAAACTGGATACAAAATGGAGTCCTGTGCCTGAAGCCCCTCCCACACCAAAGAGGTACAGTCAAACTGGGAAACCAAAATTTACATACAATCTAGGTTAACAATTATGCACATTTACAAACTGTTAGTGGAGGTATTGTTGAAGGCTTTCATGCCTGGAATCACTTGGTTGTTGTAGGTTTTTTGGGCTATATGGCCATGTTCTAGAAGCATTCTCTCCTGACATTTCACCTGCACCTATGGCAAGCATCCTCAGAGATTGTGCCGTAGATGCAGGTGAAACATCAGAAGAAACATGCAGGTGAAACATCAGTAGATCATGCTTCTAGAACATGGCCATACAACCTACAACAACCCAGTTAGTGGACGGTTGGGAAGTTGCTGTTTCCAACAATACGGTCTGCTGGAAATGTTAGATGTAATGCAACGAAAATGGACCAAGACAGCTATAATACTGGTGTCTTTACAATATTCGGGGAAGAGGAGAATAAGTATCTCAGTTCTGGCCACCTCCTGCTTATGTTTAACATAGACATTGACYTTGACAAAGCTTGGTAAATTGTATCTGTGAATTCTAGTAGCTGTGGTCCAAAAAGGCAATGTGTTCGAAGCTCTMCCTTCCCCAAAACGGACAATTGTTATTCTTTTTGGAAACAGTTTGAAAAACTCATTGGGAAGAATAATTATTCTATCCACTGTCTTGCAGATCCTGTGTTATTTACCACTCCTGTTCTTCTGCTGTCTTTTCCCATGCAGCCAAGATTTGCTATGTGATGTGACTATAGTTGCTGAAGACATGGAAATTACCGCACACAGAGTTGTGTTAGCAGCATGTAGCCCTTACTTCCATGCCATGTTTACAGGTACCYCGCTTCTCTTTTTTGCTTCTTAAAACTAAAACTCTACTAAGAACAATGCTGCTATTAGACTTGTTCTCCGACCCAGTAGATTTATTTAATGTGGTGCAGGACACATATGGCTGGAGGGAGGGGGGGGGGTATTTTCAGCCTGTTAAGCCCCCACAAAAAACTATAACATCAAAAAATTCTCAGTTTTTCCATCCCAGCAAATGCAGTGGTTTTGCAGCTGCAGCTCAATAGCATTCTGCCAACTTTTAAACCTCAAACGTGTCTCAAAACAGTGCAAAATTAGCCGAATACAAAATCAGAAACAATATGATATGATGGCACTTGCCAGCATGAGAGGTGAGGGGTGAAGAATGGGCCATACCACTAATGGTATGTCACTCTAGGATCTACAAGGATGAAACACAATTTAGATATGATTTATGACATATACTTTAAAAATATGTATGTGCAGCCTCTTAGGGAATAGGTTAACAAAAAGTGTATCTATGCTGTTTAATTACTGTATTTCATAGTTTGGTATGACACTAGTACTCTTTGGCAGAGAAATCTAAAGATATTGTAAAACTACAACTCCCAGGATTCCACAACATCCATTAACTGCCATAGCAGTTGTGGTGTTTAACTACATCGCGTCTACAGTGTAGATGCACCCTTGATCTTAACCTGACTCTAGAACAGCGGTTCCCAACCTTTTTTTGATCAGGGACCACTTTGACCAACCTTAGTACCAAAAGGGTTATGAATCAGTTTTTGGTCAACTTTAGATTCAGTTTGGTTATTTGGGGAGCTGATTCAGAAATTTGAATTGGATAGAGCACATCAGCTGTAGTTTCTGATATAGAACATATGTCATCCAGTAGTCACCACCTGCTCGCCCACAGGAAACCATATTTAATCATCTAGAGCTGATATGGTAGTAATAATCATTAGTGGGTAGTAAGCCTCTCCCCTCCTAACATGTCTGTTGCCTTGGCATTATAAGAGGGCTTCGCAAGACCAGTCGCTCTCGTTGCCACCTGGTTTTGAGGCAACAGTGTAGTAATGGTGAGGCCCCGGACAATATTTTCATTCGTGCGGACCACTCGTGGTCCATGGACCATAGGTTGGGAACCACTGCTCTAGAATTTTATTAGCTGTTTCATTTGCACATTCAGCCCTCAATGAGTTAAACACACTTGTGAGTAACCAATTTTTATAGCCAGAAGACTGGAGTGCAAATAAAACAGGGAAATCTAGAGCGGAATAGCAGGCAAAGTATTGAGACCATACTTAAAATATTTGGAGACTGAAAATATTAATGCATAGAGAGAACTGGATAGTTTTAGCATCTTATTTCTAGAGTGCTTGTTTCTGTATATATTTTTTGCCTAACTTCAAGTGACAGCTGGACTGTTTGGCTTGCTATAAACCTTCCATGCCAGCTGGATTTTTGCCAGTTTGTGTTCTCCTCTGAGCAAGCCGGGTATTCCAGGCGGAAATGTCATTGGGCATGTAGGACCCAAGAATGACCTACATTTGTGTACATTCTTCAGTATGGTTTAAGGTTGATGTTAATTCACCAGGGAAGTACTAATTCTGAATGTAGCCTCCCATTTTTTCTGACCAGAATATGCACTATCCTTACTTGAATGTTCTCAAAAATGAAATGTCTGTAGATGATCAAGATTTAAACAAAATAGGGTTCTCATGCAACTTGCTCCAATATCATAACATACTTTTCAAGTGGGCAGGTCAACATGATACATAATTGTGGAGCTTGTTTCCAAAAGATGCCCAATCCATCTGAACAAATTTTGTAGATATTGAAAAAAAAATATTTATTGGCCATATTTATATCTCACTTTTCTCACCCCGAAGGGAACTCGGAACAGCTCACATATAAGGCACAATTTGATGCCACACAATATACACCAGACAAAATAAACAAATACATTAAGAACAAGTGGTAAAAACAGATCAAACATCAAAACCACTTATTAAAAATCATGTAATCCATAGTCCGAGGCCGTTCCAAATTGTCATTGCAGTATTGCACAAAATATGCATACTTTTGCTATAAAATGCAATTTTTCAAGCCCTGTACCACAGTGATTTGATACACTGATAGTTTTGGTCTGTACATAATGCTCTATTCCTAGCCAACAATATGGAGCCACCTATAATTCATTTTCCTCTTTCATTTTTGGATTTGATCCTATTTGGAAACAAACTCCACAATTCTGTCAATTAGACCCCAGCTAGAACTAATGTTCCAAAAAGAAGTAAGACGCATTTTTGCGATCTTACAATTTGGGTGTATGGAGAAAGTTCCTATTGATCTTGTGTTTCCTGAGTCTATCTCATGTTGGGATGCAACAGCTCTCTGTTGCTATGGGTTGTCAAAGTTGTGGGAGCTTTCCTCCTTGTCGAGCCGCAGCAATTAAATATGCATTACATCTACATTATGAAATATGCTGGCATGAGGAATTGTCCTCAAGCCGATCCTGTAAACATCTAGAGACCACAGATGGTCTTTATGACCAGTGTTCCAACCTCCACAAGCTTGGAGTTTGGAACACTTTCCCCCCTTTTCTCTGAGTAAAAGTGACATTGTTTTGGGAAATGGTGAGTCAAATGTTGCTAATATTAATTCTCATGTGTGATGCTGAATTTTCTAGGACAGTTTCTACTGCCATCATTCAGTTGCGTTCAAGTTGATTGCATCGAGTTGCTGATGCACTCCTAGGTTTATAAATACTCCAGTTTGTCTTATTTTTCCATATATGGTTATCATTTGATGGGTTCCATGTCCCCTTGAAGTTCTTGGAATTACGTGAGGATGTGTAAATTTCAAAGTATCCAAGACTGAAAGATGTAAGCAACCTGAGTACCAGGAGCAGGTACACATCATGGTTGCTCCATAATTCAATTTGCTCTATAGGTTCTTAGGAAGTGTGCCTGTTGTCATCAAAAGGGCATTCTGATCAGCATAGCAACATGCAGAAAAATGCATTTTCATTTTTCTTCTTTCCTGGAGCAAATAGCTAATGTTTAATCCTTTAGAAAAGTGCTATGTGATAAAAGCCAACTGTGATCAAGTACAGCATATTGATGCCAACTTCCAGTGTCTCATTACATTGACAGCACTATACAACCATATATTTATAGGTGAAATGAGTGAGAGTCAATCAAAGAGAGTCCGAATCAAGGAAGTTGATGGCTGGACCCTCAAGATGCTCATTGAGTTTGTTTACACTGGGGAAATTCAGGTGACAGAGGAAAATGTACAGGTGAGTGGGAGGATTTGGTTGGCACAAACACCCCATTAGGATAATGACATTTTATAATGACATTTTAAGCACCTTAGTCATAACAAGAATATGTGCATTTTGATAGCATTTGTATGATCTTGTAGCACTGTTTGCATTAGTTCTGAATTCTTACATTGGTTCCGAATAATTGACATCACACCTCGAATGCTTTTCCACATTCAAGGCATACCTGCTGTTGTTTATAATTCTTTACAAGCTGTTTTGTATAGCAGGCTCTCCACTTTCATGGGAGTTAGAGAGATAGTACCCCTGCGAAAGTGGAAAATCTATGGATAATAAATGAACAAGCCTTTTTTTTTTTTTTACCTGAGGGATTACCTCTCTTAAATCTCTAGATCTTCTAGCAAAATTCTATGGTCAACTTCTATTGGAAGCGATGTTCACTCTAAGCATCTCCTTCCACACAGCTGAATAAAATCCCACGTTATCTGCTTTGAACTGGAATATATGGCAGTGTGCACTCAAATACTCCAGTTCAAATTTTTGGATTTTTGGCCTTGATATTCTGAGTTATATGTCTATGTGGAAGGGCCCTAAGTCATCCAGCACAACTCTATGGTCAGCTTCTGCCAAAAGTTGTACTGCAGGATCTAGACCAGTGGTTCTCAATCTGTGGGTCCCCAGGTGTTTTGGCCTACAACTCCCAGAAATCCCAGCCAATTTACCAGCTTCTTCTTTCCATATTTAAATCTCTTCCGATGATTACATCTCCCTTTACATGTTTTTCAATTTTGGCACACGTTCTGTTTATTAATCTTTTTTAATGGAAACAGTAATGGAAATATTGCTGTAGTTTAGTTTCCCCCTTATCTTTCTGAGTCTACCTTCCTTGCTAGGTATCTTTTTCTCTAATTCAAATCTCTTGGTATCCTTTATTATAATTGCCACTCCTCTAGCCTTGTTTGTCCCTCTCGAGTCATATTGTAGGTCCCAATTTTTCAGTTTCAACAGTTTTGTATTATCCCTTATTTTGTGAGTCTGGTGAATTAAACCTATATCAACATGCCACAGACTGAGAACCACTGATCTAGAGATTCATATCCATATTAATCAAGTCCATGAATAATAAAATCTGCTAAAGTTTGAACCCATAAATGTAGAGGCCCTTTTGTAATTGTGCAGGAGATGTAATGGAGAGGGTCCAGTGATCTGGACCCTCTCCATTACATTAAACTTATGTCCCAACCCATAATGGTCCCCTTAGCTCAATGTTGGGATGCCAAACAATTTGGCAACAGGAAATGTTTTCTGAATGTCACCTAGTATCTGTTTTAGACATTTACTCAAATCTGTTGTGCAGTGTTTACAGTGGACTCTTCAGAGGATGCTTCAGCTGTACTTCATAAAAAGGAAAATCAGTCAGTTTAGCAAACCTTGCCAGTGCTGATTTGTTTTCAGTATCTGGGGAAAAAATCTCAGGTTGAAAGGTGTACCAAGTAGAAAAGTTTAAGAAGTTTAAGAAGCCCTGATCTTGTTTGAAACAGACTTGCTATAATATGCACCATTAAGGTGTAGATTGCTGCAAATGCTTATAGTTTGGGTCCAGGTTATCTAAAAGATCACCTTCTCCTATACAATCAGCCCCAAACATTTAGATACTCTGGGGAGGGGGCAGTTAGGCCAACCAGCCAGAACCTGACTGGTGACCATCACCCATCTCTTCGGCAGGATTATCCAGACAGTTTTAAAATATGAATTTTAAAGTGTATCCTTTGATTAATATCTGTTTTGTGTATTTTAAGACGTATTTTATAGAAATACATTTTAATATGTGCATTTGTGGTATTTTACACCATTTATGTGCTTTCTGTAACCTACCTCAAGCCACGAGGAGAGGCGGGTAAGAAATTATTGTTATGATGATGAGTATATCTTCTAGTGAGATAACCAAAGGAAACATAAACTCACATGTGTCGTCCTTCATGAAATGTTAAACCCGATGTTGCTGTCCTTACACAAGGCACTTCCACTTTCAAACAAGGCCTGCCAATACCCCTCAGTCTATGGCGTCTTTGAAAAAATATATTATGAAATGTGCCTGTAGCAGTGGCTTCGTGTTCGCCATCATTCACAAGGAGAAACCTGATATTTGGTTTACAGGAAACTAGACACCAGTGTCTTTGGGCAGTGAAGGCACTTGGGTTTCACTCTGCAGTTTGCCTTCTTAACCCTTCTGTGTATACTACAAATACTCCTCTGTGTTTGAAATACTCAAATTTAATTGAAGCGTTTAATTTAGTGACTTGACTACTAGGACAAACAGCAATGTTTAATTCTAGTGGAGAGCATATATAAGATGCTATCAGCTATTAAAGTGAACACCCTTTTACTTTATTTTCTGAACTCTCCATTCAGCTTTATGCCATGTTCTTCTCCATCTGGATACATAATATTACATGATATTAATACAGTAACACCTGTTTAATCAGCAGGAATGCTGCTTAAAATTATCCATTTTTTAAACACTGTGTTTTAAAGCCCCCGGTGGCACAGTGGGTTAAACCCCTGTGCCAGCAGGACTGAACTCTGACAGGTTTCAGGTTCAAATCTGAGGAGAGTGCGGATGAGCTCCCTCTATCAGCTCCAGCTCCTCATGCGGGGACATGAGAGAAGCCTTCCACAAGGGTGGTAAAAGCATCCCCTGGGCAACATCCTTGCAGAAGGCCAATTCTCTCACACCAAAAGTGACTTGCAGTTTCTCAAGTTGCTCCTGACAACAACAACAAAAAAAACAAAACCTCTATATAATGTTTTTGTTGGGGGAATAGTTTTGTATGGATTACGAAACAAAATGTGATTCTGTAGGAATAAAATCTCAAGTAAAATTCAGGCACGCAGAGGTATTATAAAGTGCCATGTACATTTGATGGCACTATATAAACTATCAGATGAAGAATTCAAGTCACCTTATAGGGACTTCATGAATTTCATAGGGATTTTTTTTTAAGGCAAGGAATACTCGGAGGTATTTTGGCAAGTTCTTTCCTCTGAAATATATCTTACCACATGGGTAATAATTGGCAGTCTCTCAGTAAAGGTAAAGGTTTACCCTTGACATTGAGTCTAGTCGTGTCTGACTCTGGAGGGTGGTGCTCATCTCAATTTCTAAGCTGAAGAGCTTGCACTGTCTGTAGACACCTCCAAGGTTATGTGGCCGGTATGGAGTGTTGTTACCTTCCTTCCAGGGCGGTACTATTGATCTACTCACATTTGCATGTTTTTGAACTGCTAGGTTCGCAGGAGCTGGGGCTGACAGTAGGAGCTCACCCTGTCCCACAGATTCAAACTGCCAACTTTCTGCTCAGCAAGTTCAGCAGCTCAGTGGTTCAGCTCCACATCTGTATGCTTGCTCACAATGCCTTGCCTCATGCACAGAGGAAGAATTGTTTAAAGCTTCAGACAGTGAGGTTGCTATTGCCCATTTTTGGTCTAAAATTATTTAGCCGCTTGTGCTCCCTCTACTTTATTAGTTTTATACTTATTTATACAATGCTTTTGACAGTAAATAAAAATAAAGCTCAGTGGTTTAACCCGCTGTGCCACCATGGCCCAGTCTCCCAGCCAAGTTTTATTTTTTCAACACTATTGAGATTTATGAGTTAAGCAGTCATTCTTATCTCTCCCTGATATGTTTAACTTGGGGTCCTTCAAGAGTTTGAACTACAACTCCCATCAACCCGAGCAAGTGTGGCCGATGGAAAGTGCTGACGGGAATTGCTATCCAAAACATCTGGAGGGAAATACATTATGGAAATTGGTGTGCTTTCAGTAGCCTGTCCACTTATGGTGTCCCTTGGAATTTCATAGTTTTTTTAAAAAGGAATACTCAGAGATGGTTTTGCCAAGTTATTCCTTTAAATATGGCCGATAGCATAATCATTGGCAGCCTGTTATGTAAGTAGTAACCAGAGCTGGCCCTGATTATTTCCAAAAGGATTAATGTACAGGCAGTCTCCAAGTTACGAACAAGATAGGTTCTTTAGGTTTGTTCTTAAGTTGAATTTGTATGTAAGTTGGAATAAGTACATATATATGATTTAGATAGCATAGGGAAGAGTTAACACCCATGTATGCCCCCGGTTGGCGCAGTGGGTTAAACCACTGAGCTGCTGAACTTGCTGACCGAAAGGTTGGTGGTTCAAATCCAGGGAACGGGGTGAGCTCTCACTGTTAGCCCCAGCTTCTGCCCACCTAGCAGTTCAAAAATATGTAAATGTGAGTAGATCAATAGGTACTGCTTCAGCAGGAAGGTAATGGCACTCCATGCAATCATGCTGGCCACACGATCCTGGAGGTGTCTATGGAAAACTCCGGCTCTTCGGCTTAGAAATGGAGATGAGCACCACCCTCCAGAGTTGGACATGACTAGACTTAATGTCAGGGGAAACCTTTATCTTTCCTAGTGATTGTTTTGCTCTTTGTGCTCCTGTTCAGAAGATCTCACCTCATTTTCCATCCCTGTGATAATAGGATTTTGAAAAATTTGGCTTGCTGGGGAAAACAAGGATCGGTGATAAACTCTTAATAGGAGTAAATTTCCCTTCCTAGGGGTAGATTTCTCTTACTTCCTGTTGCCTAAGGCCCATTTTAACTATGAGTCATTTGTAAGTCAGATGTTTGTAACTCAGGGACTGCCTGTATTTTTAATGTGTTTAGGCAGTTCACTGATGGTATAATAATTACTTTAGTGTATACCATTCTTGCTGTAAACCATTTTCAGTCCCGTGCCGAAAGAAAGGTAAAATATAAATATTCTTCAAAATTAGCTGTTCTCTATTACTGTTTAGAATACTAGTGGTCCAAATGATCTTTCACTGCAGATTGAGTCTTCCTTCCTGTTGTTAGATAAGACTTGCCAGTATCTTGTAGCTCATTATCTAGTACAGCATGTAGCATTTCTAACAAACTGTTTGGCCAAATGTTCACAAAACGCTACAAAATGTCTCAAGCTGTTGCAT